ACAATATATAATTGACTACTAAGCAAAAATGTTCAACAAAAAAGGCAGAAGACTTTCTTGTAGGGAACTCCAATGAGTATCAAAATGGCCAATGAAAGCTATTTTAAAAGAAATGTGAAGTGCAACAGCTTTGGAAAATTTTCTTGGCAGTATCTGGTAAAGTTGAGCCTTTGACCAGCAATTTAATTCCTTGATATATACCCACCAGTAATATATCTGTTTACCAACAGGTAGGTATTAGAATGTTTATAAAGCTCTTTGCTTTCTTTTCTCACCACCATCTCCCCATCTCTCCACACCCCCATCCAATCACCTATTATTTATATTGAATCTGATTCTATTATACTATACATATGTGTTTGCATGTGTTTCCTAAAAACAAGAACATTCTTTTATGTAACCACAGTACATAAAATCACAGTACAGTGATTGGATTCAGGAAATTTAGCATAATACAATATTTTTATTTAATATGCAATACATTTTTTAATCTTGCCTAATAATGTCCTTTAAAGCATTATTTTTCTTGATCTGTAATCCAATCCAAGATCCTGTATTACAGTTAGTTGTTCTTTTTCATCTCCTTTAACTTGAAGGAGATCATTACTCATTCTTTGTGTTTTATGACAGTGGTGTATTTGAAGAACTCAGGAGTATAGAATGTCCATCAATGTGGGTTTGTATAAATTTTTCTTATATCACGGTTATTCATCTTTGGCAAGAAAACCATAGAAGTGATCTCGTGTCTTCTGCATCATATTAGAATGCACATATGTGTGTTTATCCCCTTATGAATGAATAATAGCTTTGATTAATTCATTAAGATAGTGTCCACATGTTTTTCCACTACCACCATTTTTCCTTTGTAATTAATAAGGAATGTGTGGGGAGATACTTTAATAGCATAGATAATCTGTTCTCCAAATTTACAAAATGTTTTTCGTATCCATTGAAGATCCTTGCCTGAACTACAGAAATGGTCGCAAAATGATGATTTTTCTAACTTTCATTCTCAGCATTTATTAGTTAACATTTACTGTAAGAGCTTTCTTTTATTTAAGAAGAAGTATTATTGGTATGAACTAATGGGTTCTTTCTTTCAATTGCGAGTGTTAACAATCCATTTCTATGCTCTATTTAAGCAAGGAGTACCCTATCAAACTGACTTCTGTACATTTATTCATTTTGAGTGCTTGCTTCTGGTACTATACAATGTTCTAGACTTTACTTTTTGTAACCCAATCCTAGAATCAGTATTTCTCCAAGTAGACATGTTTCTTTTCAAGGAGAATGATATTTGGAAATAATGCCAGGTGTGCTTATTGCTACTGGGATGGCCTTGCTTCTAGGGCCTTTTAGGAGACAGAGATAGGAAGTAAATTCACACATCATGAATGCACACTAATGCCTCTAGTTGCAATCTAACATTACAGAATTTTTCCTTGTCTTCCTCACTTCATGTTTATATCTCTCTTCTCCCACAGTGAGGATATTAGTATATAACTCATTTGCTTAATCTGACAGTATACATGTTGTACCCTCACAACAAAAGTAGAATATTCCTTTGCAGCTTTTTATCTTTAGACTGAAGGTATTTAATCAAAGTATTTTATTCAAGAGTTATGTACATTCTTCTTTTCATTCTGTGTGATTAATAATTTGAAATAGAATTTGGGTTATTACATATTCAATTTTAGAATTTTTTCTGTCTTCATTTACTTAATTTTTTATTTTTGTATGTTAGGATTTAAGGGGTTCCAAAGCCAAATCTCTACAGGTCACTTTCAACTCATTTCCACCGATCCTTACAGGAAGTCAATTTCATTATTTCTTATTCTTTCTGGTTGTATTCTCATTCTCACTCTCTCTCTCTCTCTCTCTCTCTCTCTTTTCCCTCTCCTTCCCTCCCTCTACACACACACACACACACACACACACACACACACACAATCTAGTATGTATATATGTATGCACATATACACACTAAAAATAACTCCGTTCTTAAAGATTTTCCTTTTTTCTAGAGGTACAGCCATTGTGTCTATGTACCATACTTTATTCAACCATGTTCCTATATTTAGTATTTTTACAATTTAAAATAATGCACAAAAATTCTGCATATATAGTTTCATATTTGAGTTATATCTTTAAGAAAAATTTTAGGAGTGGAATTTCTTGGTCAAAAACTAAATGCAATGTAATTTTGTTAAATACCGACATGCCCCCCAAATCTGGGCACACATGTCATCAGATAACCATTGTTAGTTAGGATGAATCACAGTTCTCTGAAAACCTAGCCTGAGAGATTGGGTCATATAGCACATTTATAAACTAAATAATTCAACAGGCATTAATTGTGTTCTTACTGCATACTAGGAAATGTTATAGGTACTGGGAAAGAAAAGAACATTCTGGGAATCTTAAGAGAGCATCTACACTAAGAGGCCACAGTAGTGTGGGCCAGATAGTCTGTTCCTCTTGTCCCTGAACAAAATGACTTTAATAGTGAAAGTACAGCAATTCTTCCCTGACCATGAGTTCTCACTGACACAAAAATTTGGTTAACACAGAATTCTTCCCATATGATGTGAGAGTCAGCACCTGATATACCTGTTAGTAGTACAAAAAAAACGAAGGGGCCCCTAGCTGGCTGTGCTGACAGCTCAGAGCCTGGAGCCTGCTACGGATTCTGTGTGTCCCTCTCTCTCTCTCTGCCCCTCCCCCATTTGTACTCTGCTCCCTCTTTCTCTCAAAAATAATAAAACATTAAAAAATTTTCAGTATAAAAGAAGGAACTTGAGTTTTGGAATTTCAAAGCAGAAAGTAAATGAAGAACATAGGTGCAGCCCCACTTCCAACAAAGAGTGAGAAGAGAAAACCTGAATGTAGAACTTCCCTTCTATTTGGGGTAAGTAGGCAGAATGGTAAGAAGGTGAACTTGGGAATCAGCAAATTATAAAGCTTCCAAATTATAAAAGTTGAAAGGGATCAAGCATTTGATGGTCCAGATGGAAGGGGTTTTTAAAAAGTGCATTTCAGCTGTCCCCAAAATCTTTAAACATCTTATTGAAAGTCTGGAAAAGGAAAAATTCTGAAAGTTTGGAAACAATTTTTATAGTGCTTATTATTGGGGATTTAAAATTACCATTGGTAAAATGCTATTGATGGTGTATTTTTCATGTGTAATTATTTCATACATTATTTTGACGACTATAAAAAATAACTATGAGGACTTTTGCCATCTGAGTTCTTATCTTTTCTTTTCTAAAATCTCTAAGTTTTCCAACTATACATTTTCTTATCATGGAGTTTGGGGATAAAAACCTGTCGTATAGCAGGCATTACCTCTAAGGAAACTAGCTTTCTCACTTCACAGCCACACATTATTCAGCTGAGTGTTCACGTAGCCTCTCTGAGAAGACTTTCTAACTCCATCTTCAAATTCAAATATACTAGAGTTTAAATAATCTGTGTCAGTGCCTGCATAAACTGTTACTGCCCAGAGTTGAATATGAGGAGATTCTTTTGAAGCCTTGGTCTGAATATTCTACTGAACTAGAAGTAACCCACTTGTACTCTATAATTTTGTTGTATTTCAAACACAAGAAAATGGTATTGTGGAATATCTCATTACAACATATATTAATGTAATATATAAATAATAGAAAATATAGAAAATATTTTATTCTTGTGCATGACTTCAAATGTTGACATAGGTTTCACTGTGATAGAGTATACATCTTATATGAAATTCTATTTAAAAATTTTGTCATTAATTTGTAATTTAACAAAATCTATCATGGACACAAAAATGCACATCCTTCTTTAAGAAGATATTGCAACTTTCAGTTTGAAAGAGAATCATACATGAAAACAAAGATAATTCCTATAGTAGTTTAATCCATACTTTATATTAAACCTAATATATTACAAGTGTCTATTATTTGGAGGTATCATAATTTGACATTAAGTTCTGTATTTAACACAAAAGTACCGCAGTATTTACTAACTTTCGTTGTATTTGGTAAGAATTGTAACCTCACATGTTATTGTTTTTAGAATTTTCTAAGACACATTAAATCTGAGAAAAAAATAAATAGCAGATTAATACCCACTAAATTCTCTGCCATATTAAACAGCTTTTTTTCACTTTGGCAAAACTAATATTACCATTTCACAACTTTTAGATATTTCATAAAGTTTGTAGAACATAAAATTAAAATGGCTCAAATCTGTTTCTAATTTACCAACCAATTATTCTATCAGATTCTTCTACACTGAACATTCTACTCCACTGTAGAATTCTCTGTATGCCTACTTCATTGTATATCAACATACATGTAAGCATCATGACTCATTAAGGTTTTGAGAAAAAAACTTCTTCTCCAAGAAGTCCCACAAAAGTAGGTAATTTTGAATCTCTCACTTGTGCTGTACTTTCCCAGTGAAGGTGAACGTACCAGCTCTAAAAACACCAGTAATATTTGTTTTTATGTGGTTTGTGCAAATCATACAGAAGGATGACTAATTCCTATTGGAAATCTTTAAAATTCCAACCTCACAGAGAAATTTCAGCAATTTCAACATCTTATTTGAATGCTTTTTACTTGTGTTTATTGTATGAGTGATGCTTTGATAGAAATAATAGTACAAAGTCAAGCTTCTTAGAAAATTTTTAGTTTCACCAAATTTAACGGAATTCTTTCCCCCAAAAAGATACATCTTAATATGTTCTGCTAATATTTACCTGAAGTTAGTCTTTCTTAGACATAGTAATTGTTTATTTAAAGATCTCTAATAATTTCTGCAGTTAATAGCCAAATATTTTTGCCTAAAAGGTAAGTAGAACTTCAAATACTTATGCTATTATTATATACTAGTAACACTTTGTGTGCTTTCTGAAATGCTTTGTGTATGCCTCCTCAAAATCTTCAAACTACCTCAAAAATAGAGTGCCAAAAAGTCATTTATGTAAAAAATGTTTAATATTTCCTAACTTATTACAGAGAAGTCTGCATTTTAATTTTTACTACATTAGCATTTAGCATTAAGACAACAGTGAGTCAAGTCTGGCTTTTGTAGTTGAAGGTTCACTGGAGTAGAGTAATCACAACATGGTCATCTCGGCCTTGCCATAACATCTCCCCTTCAAAGTCAACCAGTCCATGCTTCCTGGCACGCATTAGGATGCCCACTACTTTATCTGAAATACGAACATATCTGTCAAAGAGGTCTCCGAAAGTAACCTGAATCTTGCCATCTCGTCTGTGGTGGGCCATTGTGCGGATGATGAAGCACATGTCCATGATCTCCCTGTAGATGTGCTCCTCAGCTCGCTTGGCCCTTTCTGCAGTTTTGGTCCCCTCCTTGGGACGGCCATAGCCTTCATCCCCTTTTTGCAGGCGGGTAGACATGGCCAGCTCATAATCGAACTCCTCACTGAAAGGATTGAGCTTCTGTGACTGTATGTGCTCATCAGCCCATTGTTGCCATCTTCCTTTCAGGTTGTTCACTTGGCTGTATTTCCGCTGGGCCTTGCAGCTGAGTTTCTCTGTAAATCTATTTGCCCTAAAAGGGAGAGATGGTGAAAGATCAAGATATTGATATTTAACATCCAAGTATTGCTTTCTCCTTGTACTTCCTACACATGTGCATCTTAATGTACATCTAATTTTTTCATTATAAACAAAATATAACCACAATACAAAAATTAGAAACGATGGAAGAACATTTAGAACAGTCACACCATTGTTCTTTATTATTTTTTTTTCAAGGATAGTTGACAACCACCATTGTTCTTATTTTGGTAGACCATGAAAATATTAAACTCTATTTCAAGGAAAAAGCTTCCTTATACATATATAATGTAAATATGTGTGTCTTAAAATTGCATGATAGTAACATTGTAGAATTGAAATCATATGAATGTATTAAGAGAAAGTACTTTGTATAGGACTTCAGAAACCAGTCATTTCCTCAAAACAAGGCTTGCTATACTAGCACACGTATATTGTACCACTTACTTATGTATACATGTTCATATATGGATTTTTAGGAGAGCATATTTATACTAGTATCAACGATGTGCCACAAATTTTGGAATATCAAGTTGTATAGGTAGAAGACAATAGGTAGCAATAGTAACGTTTATTGAATACTTTGTGCTGGCATTCTTCTAAACACTTTTTATTAACATTCCTATAACCATTCTATGAGATTGGTACTACTAACCTCTCTTCACAGATGAGGAAACTGAGGTCACAGGGGCTAAGTAACTTGCTTAAAGACACAAAAGTGTGAAGTGATGGTGCTGGGATTTGAACCAGACCTGTGTGTCACTACTGTGAAATATTGCCCTAAACCAGTGACAAAGGCAGTATTCAAATACCAGCTATCTGAGACTCAAGTCCATGCTCTTTCCCACTGTGATGTCACTTATCCCGGGGGTATAGTGTCGAATAAGTAGATAAGTTGTGTTTCAGATATGTGTGTCTTTTCCTTGTAGTTTGGAATGCATTTTCTTATTAAAAAAAAAAAAAAAACAGCATTGCAAAATGTAGACCAGTAGTATCATGAAGGTGCAGACCTAATTTTAATAGAGGTAAAGTTTATCTGTAAAGGATTTCTCTGTCTTTTCTATACATAGCTCCAGTCTCCTAGACTCTTTTCTCCTAGGTCTCTTTGTCTTCACAAGTAAAGCATGAACTCTTGGACTATCTAGAAATCGGAGATTCCTCATTGTCAGAAGTGACCCACCCTTCCTTCTCTCCAAGAGCAAGTGGTCTTATGTCTGGAAGCCCTGGCATCGGAGCCACAGAGCCTCACTGAAGTTGCTGGTGTGAACAGCCTGCCTGAGCTAAGTAGCCCCTCCTATACAAACTCTCACAGCTTTCTCTTCTAAACCCAGCTACAAGTCAGATGTGGGTATTCCTCGCTATCCAATCTCACTTCCTGAAATCTGGTTTTCCAAATGCAGGAAACACAGATGTGGGTAGGGAGACACGTATACTTCTATCAGCATAGTTTTCAAAAGAGGAATAACAACCACTAGATGGCGAGCTTTCACTAATTCCATGCTTTGTGGTATTCAAAACTATGCTGCATTCAGTTTCTTTAAAACAGAGCTCAAGCTAGGGATACGCTGATACGCATTACACTGCTATTCTTTGTAGCCATGTGGACAAAAGTTTTTGGGGTTTTTTTTTTTGTATTTCCAAGTAACAATGTAAATAGTAGTTTAGAAGTTTAGACTGAGCTTCAGAAATGCAGTCTAGTTTATGTTTATAGAAAGCAATGCAATATTCAAAGACTGACATAGCACCCATATTTAATAGTGATATTTAATATTTAATCTAAACTTTCCTTCTTAGTTTCATTATTAGTAAACAAAGTTTCTTACAAACAACAAATATCTTCCCTGTCCTATTATGTGCATAGTAACTAATTCTACTAGACATTATAAGCATTCTAATTGAAAAGTGTACTTTCATTTACTGAAATAAATTCTGAACTATCAGTCAACTTTAAAAGTGACATCACTTTGGGTGTTGCTTTCTTGTGTGAATAGGATTTTCAGCAACATAATGAGAATACAGGAACCAACTCTCTGAGGCTTTTTCATTTTGGACTAATAATTATACGGGTAAGTTATTAAATATGAATAAACCCCATGGGAAATACAAGTTTTGAAAGGCATATTTCAAACCTAACCAAGTTCATTGACACTGGAAACACCCTGGGAGATGGCCTTCACCTGCATCACCAACCGATGCTTCAAAATGCCAGGGGGCCTGGAGGTGGTGTTTTCTGGTCTAGGTCTTGGGTCTGCGTGAAGAAAGCAGAGATCTGCTCTCACTGTCACCCCTGCATATGACTCTCCTTCAGAGAGGGGGCATCTCTCCTTTTAGCACAGCGACATTTCTGTGTCAGGAAACCAAATAATTCCTTTCCAACTTCCCAGACAAGAGCTGCCAAGAATTTGCTCCTCTGTGCATCGATCCACTTACTCCTCTCCACAAGAAGTAGAGCCAGTTTGATTAATGGAAGCATGACATTCACAGGGTCACATTTACCTCTTTCTGCCATCAATCAGGTTTGAGAACCAGGCCTGTGATTCTTCTTGCAGATTGGTAACTGTCCTCAGAGTCTGTAGAAAGGGTTGCCCGCTCTGGAATTGGCATCAAATAGCAGAAAGCCATACTTTGGCCTCTGTTTCTAGTAAAACCCTTCAATATAGTTGTACCTAAACCTTACACGTTGGGTATTATTAGGATTCATTAATTTAGCTAGCACTTTGCCTTCATTTTATATCTTGAGTCTGTTCTCTGCTGAGAGAATCAGTAGCTTCTCAGAGGATCCATGGTTAAGAACATAAGCTCTGTCATCAGCCTTCCCAACTTCATCACTTACTAACTCTATGATTTGGATACATTTCTTAATGTCTCTCTATGAATTCCCTTCTCTATAAAATGGCATTCTTATACTCAATTAGTATTGTTTGTGCTGAATATGACTTGGCAGAGAGGATAAATGGATGTTTGACACTTTCGTACAGGAGATCTCACCATTTTGTATTGAAGAGGGGATGCAATTCCTTTTGTCTAAAGGAGCTGGACCAAACAAGTCATGTGGCCATGTGATCAAAACACTATTTTAAAAATACAGAATAAAATAGAAACCGTTTTCATAGATTAGCAAAACTCTTTTAGTAAATATCCCTACGCTTTACCAAATCTGACTTGTTCATTTTTGTTATCCATGGAACATCCTGACCACCAAGAAAATTCTTTCTTTCTACTTAAGCATTCGTGATACATAATTGTCTCCCTATTGGTGGATATGGATAAAGAATGGTGCTGAGGATTAAAAGGAAGTGAACAAAACCCCCTTTCATAGAGGCTTACTCAATAATGCCACACTCATTTCTCAGGCAGTATTTGAGAGTCCCCCCAGGCTTCTGCTGCAGCTTCCTGAGCACAGCTAGGGTTACTGCTGACATTAAGAGATGCTGTCTCTGCATACAACATTCTGGTACCCTGTGTACTCCAAGACTCAGAGAAAGGAACCCAAGGAGGAGAGAAGGGATTTCATCCCACTCCTCCACTCCAACCCTGAGGACCAGTCTCCTAGTGCCCTGTAGGGCTGGGATCACCATGGCTGGCCCCCTGCATTATAATGCATATAACTTATTAAAGAATTCCTCCGGGTCCATTGCTTTGCATATTAATATCAAAATAACTCTATAGGTTATGTCCTTTTGTTTTTTAGATGAGAATAGAGAGGATTTCCCAAAGTAAATTCGAACCTCAGTGTCTCTCATTCAAAGCTTATGCACCTCCCCATCACACTAAGAAGGTATCCGTGTACATGTCTGATTTTAGGAACTTGTGAAGGGTCCTGTGTGCAAGTCCTCACTTCCGGGTGAAATAGTCTAGAGTATGGTGAAGAGGGTAGGATTGGAAGCCAGAATGCCTGGGTTCCAATCCCTTGGGCTGCACAATCTTATACAAATTTTCTAGTATGTCTTTGTATTATGCCCCCACCTATCAAATGTGGATGATAAGTATACTTACCCCATGAGAATATTATGAGGATTAAACGAATAAACATAAGAATACACATAAACAAGTGCCAAAGAAAGAAGCGTGCATGCATTGGAAATGGATCCCAGCTGTCACCTTCCTACTTCTGGCCAATCCAAAGCATGCTGACAGAAGACCTTCACTGTGCCATCTTCTCTCCTTATTCTGTTAGGTTCTATTCCATTTCTAGCACACACACTCCCACACTCAAAATCCACAGGCCAGAATTAGACTGCGGTTCCATATGTTCTGGTGGAATAATTATTTCTGATAATGAATTTCGGTATTAACATAAGTAGAACACAGATCCAGATCTCTTAACACATCCTCAAGGCACTGCATGAGAGTTAGCACCATGTTTGATTTCAAAACATCGCATTTGGAGACAGGCGCATCTCAGCTGTGTCACAAACTTGCTGGATAAACGTCCCCTCTGAGCTTTAGCTCAGAGGAACCCCTTCTGATCCCTAAAATGGGAGGATAATGCCTGCCTCAGAAAAGGACAAAGCATGTGAAATACCCATGGCATACATTAAATGCATGAAGGTTGTTACGATTATCTAGATTAGGCATTTCATTTTTCCTGGAAGCATGTGACATTGTAGTTCTCTTTCAAGACACCTTTAAAGTCACAAACTATAAGATAGTTTTTGTCAATAGGTAATCAGTTTTGTTCTTCACTTCATTTCATTAAATTTAAAAAACACACCTACACATCTAATGTTCCAAGAGGGGGTTGGTTTATAAGCATTCATCATATCAGAGACTTTTCACGTATTTTGATATTCTACAGCTGTGGTGATAGCCTGCCTTTCTCCTGTGTGGAGGTGTAGTGTCTTAAAAGACAGCTTATATTTTTTTTGTCTGAATACATGTATCAGTTTGACTCTGTGTGTGTGAGTGTGTAGGTGTGTGTCTTTGACATCTAAATGTTTTAGGATTGTGATATTTTAATGATCTAGTTTTAATAGCATGTCTGTTTTTGTTTAGTGACAGAACAAACTTTTTCTGAAACTTACCTCATTTACGTCTCCAAATACAGCAGATTGTATCCCCAAAGGTTACTGCCTTAGAAAAATAACCAGTGCGTGTGCGTGTGTGTGCATGTGTGTGTGCATGTGTGTGTGTGTGTGTGTGTGTTGAGAACATGTAAAATCTACTCTCTTGGCCACTTTCAAGTATGTAACACAGTATTGTTAACTATAGTTGAGGTACAGCTGGAACTTAAACTTGGGTCTATCTGACTTCAGAGCTTACTCTGGAGTTACATAGCAGCCTTCCACCTGTTGACTGGCTCAAAGAGACCTTTGCCTCACAGGCACTATGTAGGTGATGTGCCTCCTGATAATACTACAGACTGGTCTGAGACAAGGGAACGGTTTTCCCGCTCTACCGACAAGTGCTGTTTTCTGCAGAGAAATAAGCCAATTTGTTACTCATCCTAGAGTGTATTTTAAAATTGTGCCCAAAACAGACAACCTTCTCTGGTGGCTTTGTCTTTGTTGAGGCTAAAACTTGAGTATTCAGTTAAAACAAAAAGGAGAGACAAATTAGTAAGGGCCCTCGACCCAAAGGCCCGTGTGTAGCTGGGCACTGCCCCTTTGGCCCGGGGCATGCCTTCCCCCCAGGGCCTCGCTGCCTGCCCAGTCTGTAAGATTCTCATTCTAACCTCGGTAGTGTTTCCCCGCTCGCTCGGTCCCCATGGCTGGTTGCAGCTCAAAAGCAGTGTGAGGAGCTGAAGGGAGCATTCACTTACTGGGAAGGCAAAGGGCGTTTGATTCTGGTGGCAACCACCTGCTCTCCGTCCTGCTCGGGCCTTTCCTCGGTCTCCCCTCCGTAGCCGCTGTCCTCTGTGTCTAGGCTGTCGCTCCTCCACTTGGGCTCATCCCGCTCCATCTCTTTCCAGCCTTTGGTCAGCTCAGATACCATGTTGCCACATTTTCTCCTCCGCGCTGGGGAGCCATGGCTGTGGAGGATTCTGTCAATCTCATCTTCTTGCTGCCCCGCTCCAGGCATGTCACTGTCCTTCTCATATCTGTGGCTAAGGTGGCTCACATCCCCTCCTCTCTCATAAGCTTTGCTGACAATTGTTTTGGTCACCTCTCTCCTTTTGATATGAGAGACTTCAGCGGCCCCCTCTGCGCTCTGTCCATCTCCAAGTCCCTCTGGCTTTTTGGAGGGAGATTTTGGGGTGCTCTGAGCTTTCTGGTGGGGGGTAGGGTAGATCACTGGTTTAGGAGCTTGGGATGCATCCTGGGTGGTCCCTGGCTGCCAGCCTGAGGGCTCTTGGGCCTGCCTGATGCTGTTCTCATTTGCCCACTGCTGCCAACCTCGGGCCAAGTTGATAACCAGGGTGGCTGTGCGAACCTTCCGGAGAGCACGCTTGGCTGGGCCCTCCTCTCTTTCCTTCTCTCCCGGGGCCATGCCACCCTTCTCTTCTCTGCCGGTAGCCTGGGCACTGGCTGAAATGAGTGAGCACTTGTGGAGTGACTGGGATTTAAATAGAAGCAGGGTGTGGGGCGGGAAGGGTTTGGTGACCGTGGAAACTATGTGAAACATTTCTTGCCGAGATGTGGTGCCTTCCCCCTGATGATGTGCTTTTTTTAAACCCTGACATCTCCAGTTTCATCACAGCAGAGGGACATCTCTGCTGGTAAAGGACAGTGATATGCACTCCTTTTCTTCTCCAGTGCCAGAGTGGAAATTACTAGATTTGATCATGTGCTCAGCCTTATGTTCTTGACCTTAAATTATGGTCCTACCATTTATAGCAGCAATAAATATGTGCACAAATTGTTCTAGGAATATTATAGGCTTGTTCTCACTTAAATCTCAAAATGGCTGTTAATTAGTCCCGTTTGATAGAGGAATAAAATGAGATCTAACTTCCAACAGCTAATAATATCTGCAATTCAAACCCAGATCTGTCTGATTCAAAATTTGTGCTTTTTATTTTTGTTACCTTTTTGTTTTGTCTTCACCTCTGTTTGATGCAGACCTTAGAACCAGCTCATCCAGACTTTATTTTCCAGATGAGAAAACTGAGGCCCAGGTAAGGGGAAGACAAGGGCCAGGTTTTCCAGTCCTAAGCTTGAATTGTTGTATAGACAGGTCATATTGATATATAAGACAATGGTCAAATCTTTGGTCCAATTGTTTTCTTAAATCTTTAAATTAAGACCTAAAAACACGCTGACTTTCATAAATTATTATTACAAAGAATCTTTTCAAATATGTTGAAAAAATATTTTGTTTCAAAAAAGACCATTTAAAGACAAAATTAGTGAACACTATCAGAAGCAACCCCCACTTGACCTTTTGTTTTTAATAATAGACATTTCCTTTAGGCTCATGTAGAAAAATCCAGGCATTCCATTCTCAGAATAAAGACTGAGATATCGCTTTTTAAAAAGGACTGGTTAGATAGGTCATTTGGAGAGAAAAAGACCCATATATAAAGTATACTAAACCAGATAAAAATGCTCTTCTAGAGCTTAGCACTGAATCAGTATTGATTGAGAACTGCTAAGAGCATAAAAAAGGGCATGAAAATCAGTTAATTCTGATGGTGAGATGAATTTATTTTTTTTAAATGTTGATGTCAGTTTTTCATCATGTAGGTCATTTACCTCCTAAGATTAAAACAATTTGGGAGATGATTTAATACTCTATCTAGAAATCTGTCAGATGTGTACTCAGAGTTCAGCAGCATCTGATAATGTTAGCTGAGATGAAATCCTTCTTGATGTTAGCTGAGATGAAATCCTTCTTGATTAAGAGGCAGCCAGATCACAGGGAAAGAAAACTATTACAAATGTTTAAATCTGAGTCTGAGATTTCTGGCATACTTTCCCAGAATGTAGATGTACTGCTGACCGTTCCATTCCTGTTAGATTCCCTTCATCCTACTTGGAATGTCTTGGGAAGAAATGGGGTTCTTTAGAGATGCGCATGAGCTTAGCCCAGGATCAGGCTAATTTACAACTGTCCAGGGAATTTTTCCTGCTTCCCTATGCACACCTGTTCCACATTCAATTCTGATAGAAGGAGACGAAGTGGAGGCAGTAAAATGTTATTGGAGTTTCAATATTAGCAGGCACTGCAGTCCGCTGCCTGGGGCTTGGGACTGTCAGCAGATGGTCTTGGCAAAAAACAGAGGCAGCTTCCGACAGAACCTGGTCATTCCTTCTGAGATTTCACTTCCACGGCAACTGTGGCCTGTGGCTCTCCATTCCTACTTCTCCAGAAGGGAGTGTAAGTTTTTGTTTCCTCCTCATGTGTAATTTGGGGATTCCTTCCCTAAAGCAAGGGCTGTATACTACCTACTGTGCATTTCATAAGATATGTTCTATCTTCTTTCTCAACCTAGATCTAGATTCTTAGGAGAACAGTATTCTATTTTAATAAAAAGTGCAAAAGAAATGAAAATAGAGTCTCAAAGGTAAAGATATAGTAGAATAAGCAGTTTACAATGTGAGTTTTCTATGAAAACATGAGATTAGAAATTTTAGTGAAGGTCTGGAGGTGATTAATGAAGTAATTACCACCTAAGAAATGTGTCATAAGTGTGAAAGTGTTTTGGAAATATATTCGTTTTTACTTGATTCCTATGGGCAGTCCTAGGGAGGGGAGGAAGTTGTATTTATATACTTCTTTGCATTATGCACCTAGAAGTCAGTTAGGGCCAACCCTTAGAATCAGCTATATACTCTTACTTCAGAAACCTACATTTGCTTAAAGCTTTTATGAAACAGTAATTTCATTAATTCTTTCTACATAAACTACTAAGTCCTTTAATCATTCAGTTTCACAAAAATAGGAATAAAAAAACTTCAATACAGAACAAAAAAGAGCTTCTAATTTGAACTGAATTTACTCAGTGCTTATGAAATGTATGTAATGGGCGAAGAGCAATGGTAGACAATGTGGGTGAGGGGAGAAAGCAGAACAAAACGAAGCTTGCTTTCTAGGTTTCCAAATCGAGCCAAGAGAACACATACATACAACTGCTTTAATAGTTTGGGGTAGAGCTACATTAGAAATATAAATAAAGCTTAATGGGATGATCATTGAGAAAAGGGGACTGATTTTATTGGAAGAACTTCATGAAACTGGTGATCCTTTGTCTGTTTTTTCAAAGATAAAGAGAGCCTTACCAGGTGGAGAAAGTAATGTGAAGAAACAATGTGAACAAAGTTACAGAGACATGAAGATACACGGTATACATAGAAAACTTCTAAGAGCCCAGAGTAGAGATCACAAACTCAAATGCCTGCAGTGTCATTGCAGGTCACTCAAATGTGTGAGGTGAGTTGGGTTTGGGGGTACAACGTGGGGCAGTGAAGATTATGGGCAACTGGTGAAGTAATGTTTCAAAAGAAGTAAGGAATATGAATTTTTATATGAACCTCCCAATTTTTTAAAAATTTAATTTAATTTAATTTAATTTTCTTTCATAGATTACTGTCAAGTTGGTTTTCATATAATACCCAGTGCTCATCCCAACAAGTGCCCTCCTCCATGCCCATCACCTCCTTCCCCTCTCCCCACCCACATCAAGCCCCCAGTTTGTTTTCAGCATTCAAGAGTCTCTCATGGTTTGCCTCCCTCCCTCTCCCCCACTATCTTCTCTCCTTCTCCTCCCCCATAGTCCTATGTTAAGTTTCTCCTAATCCACCTATAAGTGAAAATGTATAGTATCTGTCTTTCTCTGCCTGACTTATTTCCCTCGGCATAACACCCTCAAGGTCCATCCACGTTGCTACACATGGCCAGATTTCATTCTTTCTCATTGCCGTGGAGTATTCCATTGTACAGATGAACCACATCTTCTTGATCCATTTGTCAGTTGATGGACACTTAAGCTCTTTCCATGATTTGGCTATTGAGAGTGCTGCTATGAACATTGGGGTACATGTGCCCCTGTGTATCGGCACTCCTGTGTCCCTTGGGTAAATTCCTAGCAGTGCTATTGCTGGGACATAGGGGAGTTCTATTGTTAATTTTTGAGGAACCTCCACACTGTTTTCCAGAGGGGCTGCACCAGTTTGCATTCCCACCAACAGTGTAGGAGGGTGCCCGTTTCTCCACATCCTTGCCAGCATCTAGAATCCTCTGATTTGCTCATTTTAGCCACTCTGACTGGCATGAGGTGGTGTCTCAGTGTGGTTTTGATCTGCATTTCCCTGATGATGAGGAACCCTGAGCATCATTTCATGTGTCTGTTGGCCACCTGGATGTCTTCTTTGGAGAAGTATCTGTTCATGTCTTCTGCCCATTTCTTCACTGGATTATTTGGTTTTCAGGTGTGGAGTTTGGTGAGTTCCTTATAGATTTTGGATACTAGCCCTTTATCTGATATGTCATTTGCAACTATCTTTTCCCATTCCGTCGGTTGCCTATTAATTTTGTTGATTGTTTCCTTTGCTGTGCAGCTTTTTATCTTGATGAGGTCCCATATCCCAACTTTTAAAATGGTAACAGTTAAGACACACACACACACACACACACACACACACGCATGCACACACTGGGTGAACCAATATGATGTACTAAGTCTTTGGATGGGATTGTTTGTGAGTCCTCAGTTTATGAATTTGAGAGAAGAACATACAATGTCTGTAGGTAAGGACAATGGGCTAGGGAGCAGCAGGGCAGACCTTTGGAGAAGTAAGTCGGAGCTACATTGTGAAGAACACCTTGCTCAGGAACCAGTGTTTAATCAGATAGGACTCATTGGATCACTGAAGGGTTTAAGCCCCATGCTTAAATGGCCTTACCAAATGATCACATCTAGAACCAATGAAGTGGAGTCTGGATTGAAAAAGACAAGACAGGATAGGATGACTCTTTACAGGAGTTAGTAAACTAATCTTGGAAAGAAAGACATGACGATCTGAAAGATTTGAGAGGCACTGAGGGGAACATCCAAGGGACTTAATAGGGACCAATTAATTGCTGTGGGTGATGGGTATCAAGGATGATCTAGAGATATCAGTTGAAATGATGGGTGTGAGGAAGTGATTTCAGCTGGGAAAGAACAGGAAAAGAGGAGGATTTGTGGTAAGAAGGAAAAGCCTCCACGGTGAAGTGAGGAAACTCTGGGACATGCCTGTGGAGATGTTTCATCGTGAGTGACCAGGAGCATGCACTCTGTGGTCAAGCAGAACCCAGTGAAAATCTAGGTTCTGCTGGTTACCAGGGTGGCCTAGGCCATGTTATTTAATTTCTCTATGACTCAGTTTCTTCATCAGTAAGATGAGTATTATCAGGGCATCTACCTCATAAGGTCAGGGTGAAGATTAAATGAGTTAACACGTGTAAGGCACTCAACAACATGACCGGCACATGTAAATACTTGATACGTGGTTATTGCCATTCATACCTTGATGTTGAGTCAAGGGGTTAGAAAACTAAAGCTCCTT